ATATATATATATATATATATATATGTATATATATATATATATATATATATATATATGTATATATATATATGTATATATATATATATGTATATTTATATATATATACTATAACGTCGTTGTAAATTATAGCTCGTTGTATCGCAAATTAATGTTGGAAATGCATACTACATCGCTGAATTAAGTATTCGGTTACATACATTGTAGAGTTTTGAGTAGGTAACTTGAACTATCCAAATACAGGACATGCGCATTGAGTTATTGGTACGCACTATTAATTCAAATGCACTTACACTTTCAAACAAAACTGCAACAGTGTGTATTCTACAACGTATGAAGCCATCAAAATGCTATCCATATTTGTACGTGAACTGTACACTGTGAGGTCATATCATGGTCACATGTCTGGGAACTATTACTATGTGAAATATTTGATGGTCTGAATGTTCAGTCATCTACATATTACGGAAACTAAGGGGCGAAGATTTTCAAGTGCAATCCGCAAATTCGAGGGAAATTCGAACATGCGATTGAATGGGAAGTTAAAACAATCTTCAACCTTGTACGCACTAGAATCATTGTAAATTTGGACGTTTAGTGTAAATTCTTAATAAATAGCACAAATTCGGATCATCAAATATATATTACTAGTGGTCCCAATACCCAATAAATCTCTATGTAACGTCTTTGAGTTCGAGTTCAATGCGGATACCTTTATGGGCATATGTTTTATGTTTGTTATTACATCTTGATAAAAAAGATCGTAAATTATAGTAATATTTTGGCTGCAACGCGGTGATATATTGAAAATACGGTTTTTTGTTATTTACCTGTACTTCTTCAATTATCGGCAAATCTGAAACGGATGCGCAGATTCTATAATAGTTCGTCGAATACACACTAAAAGTTTGTATCAAAATGTAATATCGAACAATTATTTAAATTGTGCAAACCATTCTTATTTTATCAAAAACACAAACTAATAAATTCCACTTGCTTTATACTCAGGTTTAACAGAGAACCAAGAGGGAAGTGTGGGAAGTTTCTCGTTTCCGCTACCAACTCATCAAACTTACTATACTTTAGCCTCCGTATGTGGCGACAATGCTGATGTGTCATGTGGAGGCAAAAGAGCCGTCAGAAAAGAGTGAGTATACACTCTGAAACGAAAAATCAAGGTTTCTCAATCCTCACAAAGTCAAATTCAGTGAGTAGTTGGCAGTTTTGATGCTGATATTTCAAGTTTGAATGTGTGTTTTTTTTTCTTTTGACAGCGGTGAAAAGACGGAAAACTTCGGTGTTGTTATGACGGAGCAGAACATGCAAGATGGCAAACCGTTTGACGTGAGACTAGACAGAAAGAATTCCAAGTGGGCAGGTTCGTTCGAAATCGGAATTACGACACTCAATCAAAACGCACTGCCGTCGTTACCCTCCATATACAGATCCAAAGAAGGTATCACCTACCTGTGGTCTGGAAAACATATATTGAAAAACGGAGTTCCGCTGCAGGAAGTGGAGTACGATTTGGACGACAGTACAGTGAGTAGTGCTCCTTCCGTGTCCTCATTTGTGACTTTTTAACCACAGTAGTTGAATAAACAAGTTTTGTACCATTGGTTATACTATACTATACTATTGGTTAATGTCCAGGCTTTCAGTGAGGAATACTGTAATCTTATAAGTTGAATCCATCATGCAATGCAAAGTACTATCGAGTACAGCCAGTGTTGAAATCAGATGTACGAATCATTGATTGTCGACGTATGTTAACACACAGATTGGTGATATTATTGGGATACGTAAAGAAGGCACTACTTTACACTTCTATATGAATGGTAAACGGCTACCCAATGTAGTAAAGAACGTAACGGTTGGGTCTTACCGTGGTGTCGTGGATATTTATGGAGAAGCCGAAGAAATTACCATCATGGGTGAGTTGTCGTGTCTTCTTCATCCTGCTAGGGCGCCCTCTAAATATTAGTAATATCGAGGCTCTCGAGATTAACGGCGGCATCAGATTACGCAAGTTTTAGTCAGTTTTCTACACTATGTTCTTTTTTAACTGAACCGACAGGCCACCATTTTATTGTTTTGGATCAAAATAGGCTGTTTTAGCAGAGTCTGCACTGTTTTCGTACTATTTCGTACTATTCGTACTATTTTCGTACTTCATTAAATTGTTTGTAATTGTATCTGAAACATTTGAGGAACTTTAAGTCTTTATAAACCCTCTGTGCATATTATTGTTGTTGTTGTTGTTGTTGTTATATTAAAAATCATTTTACAGGACACAACAGACCAGTAACCGCAATTGTCCGAAAACGGGACCGAAACAAACAGCACAAGGAACTGACCTACGCACCTAACTCGTATTCCGTTATGATGGGGATGCGATCAACCATTGATTTGCTTAATACATGTGATATCGACATCCCAACGGCGGGGACTGAAATCAAAACCACCATCATACAACCGTACATTGATGAGCGTGAGCACCACGAGAAGCTAGAGCAGTTCGGGGACCATTTAGCCGACCTTGATGCCGCTCGGGCGTTCACTAGTCTGACGGAAAGAATTCTGGCCATCCCGGACAGGTTGCGATCGGAGGATGTTTGGTCAGGCCTATTTAATGTCCGCATAGCTTGTTGGAATTACACTAATGTTAGTCGAAAGATGAGCGTCCAACTTGTCAAGGAGGGATTGATACCGTTGCTGCTCAGTGATCTCAGAGAATATGGATTTAAAAAGTCTAAAAAGGAAGTAAGTATTTTACACACAATGCAATTTTGTATATGCAAAGGTTGTGGCGTGAGTTAATACGCCCTCTTCGGCGGGTTCACTCGGACGCATACTCAGGCTACTGTAAAGCGCTTTATCTTCATTTGGAATTTATTTATTTTCCCTGAAGCGAAGAACCAGTAAAAAATAAAACCCGGTGAAAATACTATATTGCGTTCAACTGATCAAAAATTCAGTGAAAATACTATTCATAAAAAATAACCAGTAATTCCAGCTACCCAGTAAAATACAGCTAATGGAGGACGTATACACATACCGACCATGTAAGGCAAATGTGGTCGTATCGGGAATCAGCTCAGTGTTGAGGTGACAGATTCAGAATGTAATTTTCCAGTAGTATTTGCTTCATATTAACATCGTTTAAGATTTACAGTGTTTTCGTGCATGATAATGAAAATACATCAAGTTTTTAAATCGTATTGTTACGACTAAACCGACCGACTGTCGTAATCGTGTTGTTACGACGTAACCATCCGACTATCGTAATAATATTGTTACGACGTAGCCACCCGACTGTCGTAATCGTATTATTACGACGTAACCACCCGACTGTCGTAATCGTATTGTTACGACGTAACCATCCGACTATCGTAATAGTATTGTTAGGACGTAGCCACCCGACTGTCGAAATCGTATTATTACGACGTAACCACCCGACTTTCGTAATCGTATTGTTACAACGTAACCATCCGACTATCGTAATAGTATTGTTAGGACGTAGCCACCTGACTATCGTATTCGTATTGTTACGAAATAACCCCCCGACTATCGTTACGATATTTAACCACACCACTATCTGTATCCGTGTTGTTACGGTATAACCACATTTTTACGGTATAATCTTAATCGTAATCTGACGATGTGACCCCCCCGATTGTAATATTTGGTGATGAATATTCAACATGAAGCTTAAATTAAAAAGCATAATAAAGTAGAATGTTACTCATGTACTGTGTTATGTGCACATAGATAGGACAAAAGGCGAAATGTTCATTGATCGTATAATTGCAGCGCTTACTAGGTTTTTAATTATTAGCTTGAAGGAAAACAAAATTTATGGTTTAATTTGAATATTTACTGGGTTTTAATTTAGCGCATTTAGCAATCAGCGAAAGAAGCGGAAATAAAATCTTTTTATAATAAAGCCACATATAGACGTAAAGTCAGGACATGTACATAGTGAATCGTTTTAGTATCAGTTAACATCATCACCGTGAAAATCATCACGTGTAACTAACACGTGAACTAAATTCTGTATTCACAGAGAGTGAAGTTTGCTGTGTTATCATCGTTGAATATCCTCCACAATTGCGCGCGACCAGCTGAAAACTACCAAGCGTTCAGTGACTCTGGTGCTGTGGACGGAGTGCTACCCTTCTTGAAGTCCGATGATAAAGAGTACGTAATGGTGGCCGCGCTGACATTGTCATATATTTCCGATCCAGAGAAGATGGACCAGGTGGAATTTGACACCAAAGCGGTCAAACATATTTTCAAAGTGTTGGGAAAAGCCCTGGATTCACCCGATTTGTGCTGCAGAGGGAACGAGAGTGGATACTACGTTGTGGATTTGGTGCAAGGGCTATCCAATTTGGCAGACAATGAAAGAAACAAGGTCACGTTCTTGGAATGTGGCGTGATGGATTTGGTTGTTCAGACGTTGAAGAAGTGTGGACAAATAGAACAAGAACACGCGGCTAATATCGTATGGAAACTAGCTCAACATGACGCCTCGCGTCTTAAGATTGAGAAAAACGCGACAGCCATGGACGCAATTATGAAGTGTTCAGAGAGTACAGCAGTGTATGTAAGAGAAGCGGCAGACCGTGCCGTGATGGCTTTGAAACCATTCCGCCTAACCAAACAGGGTAAGTCCTATTTATAGTAACCGATTACCCAGGGTTATGTCCATTTACTACGGCAGTATACGGGTTAATGTCACAAGTAAAGTGTATTCTTTCACAAGAAAAACAAATCACTTACACTTAAGTGTCGATATCTTTGATATTTTTGAGTTCGTTTGAATAATTTTGGATCTTGCTTCAACAATATGGTATTATTTATTGTAATATAGATTTCGTAGTAAACATAGCAGTATACTTTCGGTACAATAATGAAATGTAACTGCGTATGCTCATTAATATACCCATATGTATAGGTAAATCCGGGGCGCATGCGCATCTGTATCTTATTATTTCATCAAAAGAATACTGCTATATTTGCTTCCACTAAATAATAAATCATATATTTTTTTATCAAAATACAATATTAAACAGGGTTATTCAAATATGCTCAAACATATTCAAAGTTACATGTTGTCTCTTTAATAATCACAGTATAAACTTTGGCATTGCACCACAGGCTTATAAGTTTAGTCCACTGTCACCTTAGCCTGACACGTAGGCGTGAGGTGCGCCCTCGCCGGCCGAACGGCATCAGACCCTACTGTGTTAGGTTTGTTGCACCGCGGAGGGTGCAACTCACGCGATCTTGTCAGGCTACTTTTCACCTGTATGTTCCTATATATTTCCAGATATTGGTTTTGAAAGTTCTCAACCTCAATGTGAATACATGGATCTGTGTAAACGATATCTGGACACGCTGAAGATTCCGAGTAAGTGAATCTTTAAAGACACCCTATCTATGGTGTATAGTGTATTAAAACCAATATAGATAGCTTTGAGTACTATAGTATAATTAGGACAATATGGTATGATTTATCGTAGAATTAAATGTTGTTGCAGAAAACGCGTTTCAGTCGTCGTAGTAAATACTAACTACTAACCATACGAACTGGCAACTCAAAGCATGTGGGCCATGGCGTTTTCAATAAGTTTTGCACTGATACAATATAAGAATTTTGGAGAGGAAAACGTTGAAATTATTTATAACAAATAATCATGGTCATTTTGTCAGCTTTGAAACTGTCTTATATTGGTACTGACATCTCATATCACATGAGTTTGCATGATTATCATTTTGATTTTCTTCAAATATTCACAAAAATACGGTTTTAGAATTAGGTTGAAAATGCATATTTTTTTTTTATATAATTTGCACTTCTTTGCGTCCAGTATTATTAGCTCGTCTTTTTTTTTAAAATACAATGTTATACCACTCAATATTATTAGTAGTGTTTTAGTTGCTCAAACAACGCAGTGAATAGCAATCCTTCCCGACTTATTATATTATTATTACTTTTTTATTTATTTAGAGGAATTCTTCAACCCAAAGTTCGATTTGTGCTATTGTAATAAGTGCCATACAAGTCGAGGTGACGCCCTCTATTACGTACGTGGAGAACCTGGAATGGTTTACGGAATTCCAATCACTTGGTGCCGTTTTGCATTGAAGTAAGTTCCACTTATAGCATTTTTCTAGTAAATAAAACTTTTCTTCTGAAATCGTGTCCATCTACGCCAACTGCGTACCGCTCATATGTAGGATTGTTCCAGCTTACTTTGTAACAAATGTGCTTTGATATTCTCTCTCTCTTCCAGTGTACATCAATCCAGAGTAGATGCGTTGCAGGTATTTGATAAATGGCATATTGCATATCACGGAACCCAAGCCCAGACCGTCAGTGACATTCTCAAAACTGGCGAACTGTTAATAGCAGGTAGACAAATATATGACATTCAATTTAACGCGCCCTCTATCGACGAGGCGCTTCTGAGACCTAAACTTACAACTACGTTATTTCGTTTGCTGGTTCCCGCCTGCTTACTTCATCATTATCATCACAGTGTATGTGACACCTGAATCCACTTTAGTTTATGAGAATTAATAACTATGGTAACACGAAGACTAAACAAAACATGTGTTCTTGTTGTTGAAATATTGAAGTTAAATACATCAATATTAATAACTACAACTAACAATGTTGCCTTACTCGTTTGTTTGATTGATTGATCAACTCTGATATATCTACAGGGGATGTTGGTTACGGCGGTAAACAGATAAAAGAAGGCGAAGGTCATTATCATGATGGTTGGAAACCGCATAAATTCGACACAAAGAACATATTCTTGTCACCAACGATTAGATACGCTGGACTTGAAGCATACTCAAAACCCTTTCGGTACGTTTCTATATTTATAAAATGTTTTTGTTTTTTTTTCACAATTGTTGTTTACATCACACGAGGCCCATTTCAAGCACGACTCTGAACAATTTCTGTCTCATATGAAATATTTTCTCCTATGTATAGCTACAGAGACCGCAAAACAGGGAAAACGTACACCGCAAAAGCGTCGTTCCAAGTATGTATTCGTCCACATAGCTACCGAGTCGGTAAGCAAACAGTCGGCGCAACTTTTGTCTTTGACCCTAAGATAAACAACAATGAATGCGAGTGGTACACCAAAGAACGTGGAGCTATAATTCTCTACGGTCTACTCATTAACGTGAGAGAAGGTGAATATTGAGAGAATGTTTCGCTGTGTTATTAGTATAATTGACAAGAGCAATGTAGTATTATGGATTGTTTTTCCCAACTAACACTTAAAGTTTGGTACTACTATATTATTGGGCAAGTTCAACATATTTTATTATTATTTTTATTACTTGTGTATTAATCTTTATACTCTTTGTGGGAGATGCAAGAGAAAAATAAAGGAAGGGAAAACAAAAGTTTGGTAATGTTTAAGTTTCCCAATTAATACCGATAGAGACTTTTAAAAAGGTAGCTTTTATTAAAAAAGAAAACTTTTAAATTATTACATATACCCCCGGTACAGAAGAATTTACATAACCAGTGTCATGATCTAGCATTGTAATGTATCAAGCCATATTTCTTTTTAGTTTCTTTGAATATGTGTGATTGTGACAGGTGATTTTGTCATGAAATAGGTTAAAAGTGTTTTGAGCCTTTAACTGTCATAACCATGTCACATTTTTCTTTACAAGAATGTTTTTACTGTATTTGTTTGCAAAATATATCCGTCCAATCCAGACCCCCCCTCCCAATCTTTACTATTTATGTGTGTTTTGCATGCACCCTCTATTGACGAAGTGTTTCTGTGACGTCACAATGACATTTGCGAATGTAGGTATAAAAAATACATAAAAATGGACAAACTACCACATCAAAATGTTGGCGGGAATATTATGCCTTCAGAAGTGTTAACGGGTCAATTATTAAGCTGATTTACATGGAGCATTTGTAAGAATCTCCTTTCGACAAACACTCAAAAAAAAACTGAATAAAAACAAAAGGATATGACCAGCGGTAACGAAAGCTGAAACGAACCATTCATTGAATTTATCCACAATTGTCATAACCAGTGTCAAGATCTCGCATTGTAATGTATCAAGTCATATTTCTTTTTAGTTTCTTTAAATATGTGTGATTGTAACAGGTGTTAATCTATGTATTTGAGGCTGGCTCTTTCAGCGTATTTTAAGAGCGTATGCGATTTTGTCATGAAATAGATTAAAAGTGTTTTGAGCCTTTAACTCATAACCATGTCACATTTTTCTTCACTATACAAGAATGTTTTTACTGTATTTGTTTGCAAAATATATCCGTCCAATCCAGACCCCCCCTCCCGATCCTTACTATCCTTGTGTTTTGCAAGCGCCCTCTATTGACGAAGTGTTTCCGTGACGTCACAATGACATTCGCGAGTGTAGGCAATCAATGATGTCATTCAACGGTGACTGCGTTTAGTTGTGTAGTCATTTGTCATTTTGAATATTTTATTCAAAAAAAACAGATCAAATGAATAACGACGCTGTGAACCACTTACCTATGTCACAGAGACGGAGACCGCTAGAGGGCACGACTTACAAGAAAAATCTATTTTATGTATTGTTTTTTACTGTTATGATTAATTTTTCATAATTTTTTCTAAGCATTTATCACCATTTTCCGACAAGTTAGTAGGTAATATATATAATGTTTCCTATATATCATTCGTTTCACTTTGGGTGATAAGTAAAGGAAGAGCAATCTGTGTTGAGTGAAATATATTTCTCAAATCAATCTACAACTGCTTGATGATATAAATGTTATGTAATATTTTATGTCAAGTACCTATATTTATATGTATTGTTATGGTTCATGCAATAAATAATAAACAGTGCGTTTTAAAATATCAAAGATGTACACAGATTGTAAGTTTTCATATAAAACATCGTCAACTATAACAGAAATCAATTTGGTGTCACGGGATACAACTGTATTTGTTAAATGTCATACATGAGTCAGTCTCCAGTGACAAAGTGTTTCTGGGGGGCAATGATCTGTGGTCGTCTGACAAACAGTTGTTTATTAGAACAAAATTACTTGAATCAATCTACATCATACGAGCCATGTGTCGCTAGAGGATGCAGATTATTGTTGTATTTTCTCAGTATCGTAATACACCTTCCCATCGAAAGAAATGTACTTTGTAAAAAAAAAAAATACAGAATTTAGCACAAACTCAATCGATAAAAAGTTTGCTCGGAAAGTTGTAAATCCCAGTATCAGAACAGGTGCTCACACAAAATGAGGGCGCACTACATTTGATCACACTCCCGCGTTCAAACGACAATTTTCAAACCATCAGGCTCAAGACGTAGCGTGGCTCAAAAACCATTAAAATTTGGTAATTTCACCATCTGTTTTGAAACACATTGAAAACATGCAACTGTTGTCTTGACCTCTGGTTAATTCACAAATCAATGTGGGCGTTAACATTTTTAAAGCACATGGTTTTAATATCAGTTATCACCAGTACCTGCTTAATGCTGCAACAATGCAACGAGAAATATTAGTTGATATTATTTTTAGCGGATTTGATATTGCAGAAGAATCCACTAAGGTTTCTATTCATTAATTTGTAAAGGAAACAAATTACATTCCATTGTAAAATTTATTCAGTCACAAAGGTCTGTAATAAAACCTTGGTAATAATAATTAGGCCATACTGGTACTGTAAAGGGGTTAATTATTCACTGGGTTTTAATTTTGCTTATTTCGCTGACTGGAAAAATGCGCTAAATTAAAACACAGTGAATATGTATAATTTAGCATAGAACACATCATCTAAATGACGAAACCGTGAATTTAAAACCCACTGAATATGCCCGAAATGGTAAATCAGTGAAATTTAAACCCAGTGAAAATTAGTCATTTTACAGTATATGATATTTACCTCTGAACTCTTCATTTTGAATATAAACCACTTGCCTTGTTAGTTTTTGGATATATTTTGTAATTTTTATTGCAATTTTAAAAACTCATTTTAGCAAAAAAACACTAACCTTGACACAAATTATATCACACTAAGTGGTGTACCAATTAAACTTTTTGCAAGCAACAAATTTGTGCAAATGTCACAAGCCAGATAAAAACAATAATTCGTAGCACAGCATATTTTAATGCGATATGTTTGGCAGCATAACACAAAGCAATTTTTCCTAAATTATCCTAAAAACTATATGCATCATCTACCAATAATATTCAAGATGTTAACTGCTACTATAGACATTGCATTGAGAGGGGGGAGTTTCACAAGACTTGTTTCTGATGCTAATATTTTAATATTATCTCTTCTACTACCGTAACAGTACCATACTATGAAGACTAAGTTTCCTAT